GAGAGTGGGGGAGCGAAAGAGAGTGGGGGAGCGAAAGAGAGTGGGGGCGCGAGAGAGAGAGAGAGGACACAAGAGACAGCAGGAGGCTTTGATGTTTGGGGAAGGAAGTGGCAAGCTTCGGGGATAGTGGGTAATGAGAGGGAGGTTATAGTGGTGAGGAAAGTGATTAGGTTGTAGGGGCTGGTGGGGAAAGATGCCACAGGGCTGTGGGGATTGGAGCAGGGGGTGGTGGTAGTGGTGGTGAGTGTGGGGTTAAGGTGGTCAGCGAAGAGAGAGAGATAAGCTACAGGGAATAAGAGGGGAAAAGCTGCAGGAGTGGAGGCAATCAGTCATTTTGCTATTGAATGAGTATGCAAATACAAAAAATACAAAATAGGAGCTGCCTGAGACCATTCAGCCCCCTGAGCCTGCTCCACCATTCAATAAGATCATGGCTGTCCTTGTGTGTCAAATTCCACATTTCCATCTACCTCCAATAACTTTTGATTCCCTTGCCTATAAAGAATCTACCTACCTCTGCCTTAAAAGTACTTAAGGCTTATATAAGGTTTAGGAAACAAGGATCAGAAAAGGCTCTAGAGGGAAAGAAGTTAGCCAGGAAGGAGCTGAAGAAAGGGCTTAGGAGACCTATAAGGGAGCATGACAAAATCCTGGCAGATAGGATCAAGGAAAACCCTACGGTTTTTTACACGTACGTGAGGAATAAGAGAATGACCAGAGCAAGGGTAGGGCCGATCAAGGATAGTAAAGGGAATTTGTGTACGGAGCCTAAAGAGATAGGAGAGGTCCTTAATGAATACTTTTCTTCGGTATTCACAACTGAGAGGACCTAGTTGTAGGGGAGGACAGCGTGAAACAGGCTGGTAGACTATAGGAGGTGGATGTTAGTAATGAAGATGTACTAGGAATTTTGAAGAACTTGAAGATAGATAAGTCCCCCGGGCCTGATGGGATTTATCCAAGGATTCTATGGGAAGTGAAGGAAGAGATTGCAGGGCCTTTGTCGATGATCTTTTCGTCCTCGCTGTCCATGGGTATAGTGCCAGAAGATTGGAGAGAGGCAAACGTCATTCCCTTGTTCAAAAAAGGGAATAGGGATAACCCCGGAAATTACAGGTCAGTTAGTCTTACTTCAGTGGTGGGCAAGTTATTGGAAAGGGCTCTGAGAGATAGGATTTATGATCACTTGGATAAGCACAATTTGATTTGTGATTGTCAGCATAGATTTGTGAGGGGTAGATCATGCCTCACAAACCTTATTGAATTCTTTGAAGAGGTGACCAAACATGTGGATGAAGGTACAGCAGTGGATGTGGTATACATGGATTTAAGTAAGGTGTTTGATAAGGCTCATGCAGAAAGTAAGAAGGCATGGTATAGGGGGAAATGTGGCAGATTGGATTCAGAATTGGCTGACCCTTAGAAGACAAAGGGTGGTAGTGGACGGAAAATATTCAACATGGTGCTCAGTTACAAGTGGTGTACCACAAGGATCTGTTCTGGGTCCTCTTCTATTTGTGATTTTTGTAAATGATTTGGATGTAGGAGTGGAAGGGTGGATTAGTAAGTTTGCGGACGATACGAAGGTGGGTGGAGTTGTGGATAGTGTGGGGGCTGTTCTAGGTTACAAAGGGACATTGATAGGATGCAGAGCTGGGCTGAGAAGTGGCAGGTGGAGTTTAACCCTGAAAAGTGTGAGGTGATTCATTTGGGAAGGACAAATTTGAAAGCAAAGTGCAGGGTTAATGGAAAGATTCTTGGCAGTGTAGAGGAGCAGAGGGATCTTGGGGTTCATGTCCACAGTTCCCTGAAAGCTGCCACCCAGGTGGATAGAGTTGTTAAGAAGGCATATGGTGTGTTAGCTTTCATTAATAGAGCGATTGAGGTCAAGAGCTGTGAAGTTATGCTCTAGCTATTCAAAGCCCTGGTTCGGCCACATCTGGAGTATTGTGTCCAGTTCTGGTCGCCTCATTACAGGAAAGATATGGAAGCACTGGAAAAGGTGCAGAGGAGCTTTACCAGGATGTTGCCTGGAATGGAGGGAAGGTCTTATGAGGAAAGGTTGAGAAAGCTAGGGCTTTTCTCTTTAGAATGACGAAGGATGGTGTACAAAATGATCAGACGTATAGATAGAGTGGACAGCCAGAGGCTTTTTCCTTAAATGGAGGTAGCTATTATGAGGGGGCATAGTTTTAAAGTGAGTGGAGGTAGATATAGGGGAGACGTCAGAGATAGGTTCTTTACTCAGTGAATGGTAGGGGCGTGGAATGCATTGCTGGAGAGGGTAGTGGAGTCGGCGTTATTAGGGGCATTTAAGTGGCTATTAGATCGGCATATGGATGATAGTATAAGGTAGGGGTGGAGGTTAGATAGACCTTAGGTTTAGGGTAAAAGTTCAGCACAACATCGTGGGCCGGAGGGCCTGTACTGTGCTGTACTGTTCTATGTTCCATGACCCTGTATTTTGGGGCAGATTTGCATAAGGTTTTGAGAGAAAACATTTTTTCTCATCTCTGTCCCAAAGGGCGATTTCCTAATTTTAAAAACAAAGTCCCGTAACAATGAAATAATGCACAGGAAGAAACATCCTTTCCCCTGTCCAGATCATTCAGGATCTTCAATGAAGTCATTTGTCAATCTTCTAAACTCCAATGGGAAAAAGGCAGCCTGTCCAACTAGACAACACACTAATTTCAGGCATCAACCTGGTAAACCTCTCCTGAACTGTTTCCATTTATATCCTTCCTTAAATGTGAAGACTAAAACTGCGCCCAGCAGTCAAGATGTGGTGTCAACAATGTTCTTTGTAACTGGAGCATAACATTCCTGCATTTATTCCTCTCACAATAAAGGACAGCATCCTATCATCTTCCTTGATAATATGCTGTACTTGAACCTTTTGTAACTCGCACTCCCAAATCCATCTGCACCTTGGAATCTTGCTGTTACTCCCCGTTAAAATAATATTCTGCTTTTTCATTCTTCTTGCCAAAGTGAACTACTTTCCATTTTCTCGCACTGTACTCTGCCAGGTTTTTGCTCACTCACTCAACCTATGTCTGTCTGCAAACTCCTCCTATGTCTTTTTCACAATATATTCTGCAACCCATCTTGGCGTAATCTGCAAAATTAACCACTGTGCTTCTTCTGCGCTCATCTAAGTCATTGATGTAAATTGTAAAATGCTCAAGTCCAGCAGAGACACCTGTGGAACTGCACTCGCCACATCTGACCAATCAGAAAAAGATCCATTTAAGCATAATGTTTTCTATCAGCTAGCTGATCTTCTTTCCTGCTAGTATATTACTCCCTATACCATAAGCTTTCATTTTCTTCAATAACCCTTGATGTGGCAAATGCCTTGTGGAAATCCAAGAACAATTTGCATATGGGTTCTCCTTCATCCTCAGCACATGCTGCTCTGTCAAAAGGCTCCAATAAATTGGTTCAACTTGATTTCACTTTGACCGAACCATGCTGATTTTTAACTGCCTTCAGTTTATCTAAGTGCCCAGCTATAATTTTGTTCACGATCAACCTTCCCATGGCAGATGTCAAGCTAAATGCCCTATAATTCTCTTCCCCAACTTACCTTCCCTTGCATCAGCATTCTTAGTGAACCATTCTTCAGTGTCCTTCACTTTCCATTCCACTAAGTATTTCAGAATTGGAACACCACCAGTTGATTCGGGTTCTTCGACCTTAACCTGCACAGTACTGGAATAGGGTATGGTATCCAGGATGGTGGGAGCAGATGGGGTCTCTGGAGCAGGAAAGGGAAAGACAAAACAATTGTTTTAGTGTCCAAAGTTTGTCAAAATTAGACACACCTACACATCTTGTTCTTAACACTGGGGTAAAAAGCAATTCAAGCAAAGTGTCTTTCTTTCTATTATTTGCTGCTGAAAACAGAATACATGTTTACAGTAAAGAAGTACTGAGTCTATTTTGCATTTAACATCGTCAATCTCAATCAGCATTGAACTTTGTTGCCAGGGGACTATAAATGGAGTTTTAAGATCAAGATGCAAAATCTGGTGATAAGCTTGGAGAAGATCATAAGATATAACAGCAGAATAAGGCTATTCAGCCCATCGATCTGCTCTGCCACTCAGTCATGGCTGATGTGTTTCTCAACCATATTCTCCTGCCTTCTCCCTATAAGTCTTACTAATCAAGAACCTATTTCTGTCTTGAAGACATTCAATGACATGGCCTCCACAGCTTTCTGCAATATTTTCCACAGATTCACCATTCCCTGGCTAAAGAAATTCCTCCTCATATGTTTTAAAAGGCCACCCATTCACAAGGACACTCAGCCCTTGGGTACTAGTATCTCCTATTAATTGAAACATCTTCTCCATATCCACTCTATCCAGGCCCCTCAGTATTCTGAGAGCTTCAATCAGACTCTCCCCCTCAATCCTTCTAAACTCCACTGAGTACAGATCTAGAGTCCTCACTCAATCCTCATAAGACAAGTCCATAATTCCTGAGATAATTCTCGTAAACCTCCTCTGGACCCCCTCCAACACCAGCACATCCTTTGTTAGATACGGGGCCTAAGACTGCTCACCATATTCCAGCCTTAGCTGTATATCTCTGCTCTTGTATTCTAGCCATCTCGGATGAATGCTAACATTGCATTCAACGTCCCAACTGACAACTGAAGCTGTATGTTAATATTCAGAGAACCCTGAACTAGGACTCCCAAATCCCTTTATGTTTCAGATTTCTGAAGCTTTTACCCATTTAGAAAATAGTCTATGCCTCTATTCTTCCTACCAAAGTGCATAACCTCACATTTTTCCACATTGTATTCCATCTCCACTTTGTTGCCCTATCTCCTAACTTGTCCAAGTTCATCTGTAGTTTCCCCGTTTCCTCAACACTACCTGTCCCTCCACTTACCTTTATGACATCTGAAAACTTAGCAACAATGCCCTCAGTTCCTTCGTCCAGATCATTAATGTATAACGTTGAATAGTTGTGTTCCCAACACTGACCTCTCGGAACTTCTCTCGTCACCAGCTGCTGCCCTGAAAATACCCCTTTATCCCTGCTGTCTGCCTTCTGCCAATCAGCTAATCCTCTATCCACGCCAGTACCTTGTCCCTCACACCATGGGCTCTTACCTTATTTAGCAGCCTCCTGTGCTGCACCTAGCCAAAGGCCTGCTGGAAATGCAAACAGATCATGTCCACTGGCTCTCCTTTGTCTAAATTGCTAGTTCGCTCCTCAAAAAATTCTAAAAGGTTTGTCAGCATGACCTCCCTTGATGAAGCCATGTGACTAAGCCCTATTTTACTACGCACTTTCAAGTGCTCAGCAATCTCATCCTTAACAATGGACACTAAAATCTTAACAATGACCGAAGTCAGGCTAACCAGCCTATATCTTCCTGTCTTCTGCATTTCTCACTTATTAAACAGGGGTGTTACATTTGCCATTTCTAGCCCTCTGGGACTCTGACTCTAGAGATTTGCAATAGATCACCATCAATGCCCCTACAATTTCTTCTGCTTTCTTTCAGAATTGTGGGATGTAGTCCATCTGGTCTTGGTTATTTATCCACCTCTACACCTTTCAGCTTCCTCAGCACCTTCTCCTTAGTGATGGCCACTTACCCCAACCTCTGCCCTCGACTTTCTTGAAGTTCTAGTATGCTGTTGGTGTTTTCCACTGTGAAAACTGATACAAAGACCCTTCTGAATTCCTCTGCTATTTCATTATTCTCCAGACTTCTCCAGATTCATTTTGCAGCAGTTGAATATCCAGTCTTGCATCTCTCTTATCTCTTATATATCTAAAAAACTCCGGCAGTCCCATATTTTTCACCTTCTCCCCACTTACTGCTTTTATTTTTTTGTCCTCTGCTGGTTTATAAAGGCTTCCCAAACTGCTGGCTTTCCATTATTCTTCACCACATCGTAAGCTTTTGCTTTTGTTTTTATGCTGTCCCTGACTTTTCTTGTCAGCCATGGTTGACTCGTCCTCCCCTAATTTTTCTTCTTCCTTGGGATGAATTTCTGCTGTGCCTTCCAAATTATCCCCAGAAACTCCTGCTTTTGCTGCTTCACTATCTTCCCTACTAGGCTCCCCTTCCAATCAACTCTGGCCAGCTCGTCTCTCATGTCTTTGTCGTTACCTTCATTCAACAGTTATGGGAACAAGTTGGGAGAACGGGGTTGAGAGACATATCAGCCATGATCGAATGGCAGAGGAGACCCAATGGGCCAAATGGCCTACTTCTGCTCCAATTTATGGTCTAATCATAATACCGTTACATCTGATTCAAGCTTCTTCCTTTCGAGCTGCAGAGTGAATTCTACGCTATTATGGTCCCTGCAAAATATATATACTACCAGAATTGTGCTTAGTATTTAGAATACTGTCAAAAACCTTGAATGGAGTGAGATTTTGGCTTATGTAGCATTCCTGCCTCTGCATTATGTGGCGTAGTCTTCATATCCTGCTCTAAATGGTCGCACTGAGCAATTCTGGGTTGACTGATGTTACTTGAGCCCCATAGGTGAGGATGCCACCCTCTCCATTATAGATTCTAGGAGGCCATAAAATCCACCCATCCCATAGGTCTGATCACCCTCTGGACCAGTATAAAAATGGTTCAGAGAATGGAAGTAATATTTATGTCTGAGCCTGCCAGACTGTTAATCAGACTGTGAATATTCCAATTGTTTTACACTAAGGCAAAGATACTGTAATAACCTTGACTCCAATCCAAAGGAAATTATAACCATAAAGAAATCACTCCCTCCACAGAATAGAATATTGATATGGTTAAATATTTAGAAATGAGATAAGTCCTTTAAAAAGGCAAGGGGTCTGTTTTCTTCCACAGACAAATTTCTGTTCAAGAGATTTTACGTATTAAGTGATAAGACCACGTTCTATTTGTGCAAAAGGGAGAAAAATCTATCCCTAGACATTTGTTACTGACAATCCAGTTATTCATTTTAGCATGTGCCGCATTATTCTCATTGTCTATAGGTAAGAGCAAGGAATAAGTAAATTTCTATATAGAAATCTGAAGATAGCATACACAAATATTACTGCTTTATTGACTGCAGCACAACATGCTGAACATCAAAGTAATGGTGCATCTATTGACAGTGCTTGCAATAGTTAAGCTTCAGTGGTCTTACTGTTGACAAGCAATTTTTCTTTCTGATGTGATTTAGTATGTCTAGTTACTTTACCAGCATTTGTGTGTTGTATGATATTTCCTACAGCATAAATGGAGGCTCTCTAGCATTGCATATAGACACTTCCAACTGAAAATAAATATTTTCAATCCCTTGCCTAATGCAGATGCGTCTCATCTGCATTCAGGTTGTTTAATATTTAAACCAACCTGAATGCTACCTTATGAGCTTGGAAATCTTGCATCCTTTAATTAAACAAAGGATACACAGGAGAATGTGTTCTCCACTGTAGATGAGAAGTGTTGCTCATCTGAGTAGTCGTTTGATTGCCACATTTAATTGCCAGGAGATTGGATCTATTCCTGCATCAAATTATCATGTCCCAATTCCACGCACACTTTTTAATCAAAAAAAAAAGAAACCTTGCACTCATGTGATTTTGAGTACTGCACTGCAAAAAATGCTCTCCTCCCACTTCCCTGTGTCCTAAAAATAATTTTCCTTCCTTTTCTATTTTTACCTTCAGTTAATTATATACTTATTTAGTGTTAGCAGAAACTTGACCTGACAAGTGACAAGCAACATCCGTGCTACCTAAGTGCTGAGCAATGACAATTTCCAACGTCAAACAATGGAACCGTTCCCCCCACTGACATTCAGGAGCATTATCATTGCTGAATCCCTCACTATAACAACCTGAGTGTTAGAATTGAACTGGACAAGCAATCCAAGTACTGTGGCTACAAGAGCAGGTCAGGGTCTCGGAATTCAGCAGAGAGAAACACACATCCTGACTCCACCGATCATGACCACCATCTACAAGACATAAGTTAGGGGTGTCATGGAATACTCCCCATTTGCCCGGATGGGTGCATCGCCAATATCCAAGGAGCCTGACACCATCCAGGCCAAAGCTGCCTGCTTGATTGGCATCACATCAAATAACATTCACTCCCTCCACCACCAATATGTAGCAGCAACAGCACCAATATATACCATCTACAGGATGCACTGCAGAAATTCACTGAGGCTTCTCAGACAGCACCTTCCAAATTCACAACCACTATCCTGAAGTACATATTCAGTCGACACTTTGGAGCACTGTCACATGCAAGCTCCCCACCAACCCACACAGCATTCTGATTTCCTATGGTTGATAACTGAACACTGATTTTAGAGAGTCCATTAAAGACGGTCCAGACAGCAAGCTCACAATTCCATCTCATCATACTGGACAGTCCCAGAAGTGATCTGAATTTGAGTTAATATGGTGTACAAGCAGGAACCTGAAGAGATTACAAAATGCATCGTCTCCCTACAGTGTGTTATGAAACATGATCTGTTGTGGCAACTGTAAATGTACTTACTCACCAAGTGCATTGCATACCAAAAGTCTACAAATTCTTGCTGCACACTATTTATGCTCAACTTCAATGAGCTATTGTGGATAAAGGCAGGAAAAATACAGTCACAATGGTTGCAATTTCTCTGAACAAAGTAAAGCTGCAAAGCTAATACCCACCAGCTTGCACTAGGATAAATTCTTTAGATTCCACGCCTACACGGTTGCTTGCAGTACAGTTGTATGGGCCAAAGTCATTTTCTGAATCAGGTGTGACCTAAGGAAAGATATGCAACCACACACATCAGTCATCATAGGTTAAAAAATGAGTTTTGATCAATGACATTTTATTGCTTACTTCTGCTCTCCTGAAAGCATGTATGGGTAGCAGATGGCTGTTCAACCTTTCAAAGAATGGCAGCTCAGAATTTATTCCCCAATTTGTTACATTTTCCCGCATAGCTTGGGAAGAAAATGGATGGTTTGACCAGGTTAAGATACAGAAGGAGGTATGTCAGGCCCAGTGACCATAAAACCACACACTGGCTGCGCTCCATAATTGCTGACACTCCATAATTTACAGATCTCAACTGGTGTTTCTGGACAAAATAAGATGAAGAACAGTGGATCTGAAACAAAAACAGAAAGTGCACGTTTGGCAGCGTCTGTACAGAGTAAAACAGTGTTTATGTGTCCAGTCCAACGACCCATTGCTAGAACTGAAACAGCTGGGTAATTTTAAATGCTGTTTTTTCCTAAAATCTCTACAGATGCTGCCAGATCTGCTGAGTTTCTCCAACATTTTCTGTTTCTGGATAGAGTGATCTGTGAACACTGTAGAGGCAAATGGTGAAGCTACCCATAACTTTCTGAATTTTGCCTGTTGTTAACTGATCATGTCACGGCAAATGAGAACAATTCTGGCCTTCAAGTCATTGTGCTCATGTTGTGCTATCCATGAAAAGTTGGATGGCTGCTAAAACTGATCTGCAGACAGATTATTCGAGTATGTTTATCCTCTATTTGGCAAAGGGTTAGAGCCACCCAACCTTTCACTAAAATTAGCCAACGGGAAATGCATATTCCCAAATATTATGACCTGATTCTTTCAGAAATCAATAAAATTCCATAAAAGTACAACTACTTTTTGTTTAAAACACACAAACCTTTTGATGAATCATGTAAGAAGAACCTGGTAAATCAAATGTCATGTAAAATCTATTCCATTAATTTTGAATATGAAGTATCAATTCTGCAATGAAGACTGTCTGTCTATTTCTCTTACCTGAAGGTAGTTGGTGGATCGTGTGCTATAGATCTTTATGCTGCTGTAGTTGGAGCTTGGCAATTGCTGTCCATCTCTAAACCAGGTCACAAGAGCCACAGGATGAGCCAGAACCTCACAGGTAATATTCACAGCGTTTCCCTCCCAGGTGTAGACAGTCACCGTGCCTTGCAGCTTTGGTGCATCTGAGTGTGAGAAAAACACACACTCGTAAGTTTTCTTTCCCCCTTAAAAAAAACGCTAACTCTTTCCATTTCTTAAAACTATATTATAAATCTAATTCCCTACTCTGAATAAAGGTCCCAGAATGGAAAGGGTGAGGGAGGTTCTGGAAATTTGTTCACAGATGACACAGCAAGGTGCCCGTTCAACTTGCATTAAAATGGATGGTCTTTCTTGAGCATCCTGAAGAGATCTTATACCTGTCACGTGAAAATCAAAACAATTTTAACAACAAGGTCATGTGTGAGCCTGCCCCTGACCTTGGTTGAAGCCAGTTGGAGATCCAGCAGCATCTTTTATTCAAAAGAGTGGTAACCTAAACGACAACACAGGCATGGCTCAGCTCATCACTCGTCTTACCTTTCACCTCCTTCCAGGAGAGAATATGATTTCTTAGCATCAGCAAAATGCTGCCCTCTATGGTAGTTAGCTGGGGATTTCGTGGCTTAAAAAAATTCTAACAGAATGATTTCCTCATTAAAATGCACATTAGTTACTCACCGAGGTTAAAGTAGCTAGATCTAGTTGCTTCTGAGTGAAACAGACCTACAGGTCAGTAAAGAGGACAGCGAGTGCGGCAGAGAGAGGGGGAGGGAGGGAGCGAGCGCGGCAGAGAGAGGGGGAGGGAGGGAGCGAGCGCGGCAGAGAGAGGG